AATTTGCCCGTTAATCACAGTTAAAAGAAGTAATGAGCGTCTCCCCAAAGCCTGGGTGTTTCTCTGCAGATTAAGCAGCAATTTGCATAGCCCCTTTATTCATTCCCACCTTCCCCTGTGGGGCGGCTTGTCCTTTCAGACACAGCCAAGCGCAGCCGGAGGCGGCTGGAGCGGTTTGACAAATGGCTTTGCCTGTGCGCCATGGTTTGGGCGCAAGAGAAGGAGGGGGAAGCTGGGAGGAGAGGGCAGCTCCCGACAGTAATGGATAGCTGGGGCGTTAAATAGTGCAGAACTTTTTATTAGACACATAGGAGAAGTTTAAATATTCAAAGTGGTTTTCTTTGAAGCCTGGGGAAGGAGAGGAGGGTGGCAGGATGGCTAGGGAAGTTTACTCAGGGCCGGTTTACTCAGAGGCCTGCTTGTCCCTGTTGGCTGGAAGGAAAAAGGGTATCTGGAGGACACAAGCAGATCCAGGTCAGCTGGTGTCCCCCGGCTGGCACAGCCTTTGGGTAGCCCGACACTCTCCTACTGGGCTTGGCTCTGCCAGGCAGGATGACAGCCGAGAGGCAGCCCTGGGGCTTCCTGAGTCCTCAGGGTGAAGAAGAGCTTATTCAAAGCCCAGCATGTGGGTGCTGTTCAGTACACCAAGGTGGAGGTCCCAGCTTTGATCGTAAATCTGGATCTATGAAGTACCCACATCTACTCTCCTTGGCAGAAATGCCCTGAGACAGGCCCAGATCCTCAGGAGCTGAGGGTCTCTGAATGACTGGTGGAGGGATTGTAGTACATTTGTTGTTATTGTTATTGTTTTTGAAAGGGTCTCACTATGTAGCCCATCCTGGCCTATCAGTTCATTTTCAAAGTCAGTTTAATTTTGGGCATGGGGGTTCATGGCTATAATCCCAGCACTCATACCAAGATCCTGTCTCAGGGATGGAAGGACATGGTTCAAGTGGCAGAGCACTGATCTAGCAAACATGAGACCCTGAATCCAGTCTCTCGTACTGCCAAAAAGAGAAGAAAAAGGGCAACTTTTCTTTCTTTTGATCCATCATGGGGCTTGAACTTAGGACCTGGACACTGTCCCTGAGTTTTTGTGCTCAAGTCTAGTGCTCTCCCACTTTGAGCCACAGCTCCACTTCTCATTTTCTGGTGCTAATTGGAGATAAAAGTCTCATGGAGTTTCCTACTGGACTGGCTTTGAACCATGATCCTCAGATCTCAGCCTCCTGGGTAGCTAGGATTACAGGTATGAGCAACTGGCACCCAGCAAAGGTCAACTTCTATTTTATTCTCAAACTTCTGTTTTGCGGGACTCTTTTTTGCTAGCTTGTGAGTCACATGATCATAGTATATCAGAAGTCAATGACCCTTGAAAATCGTTGAGATAACTGAAGCTCAGAAGAAATGAAGTTGGAGACTTCAAGGAGTGTGCAAGACCTGGTCTCCCCACCAGGAACAGAGGCTAGGTTTAACATGTTGAGTGGGCTTTATACTGTACCCAGCATGAGCTCCCTTGAGGACAGGTGCATAGAGCTGAGGAATGCTCTGCAGAGGCCACTGGAAATATCCAGAGAGATGTGTGTCTCATCTGAGCTGGGCTAGGAAGGCTCCAAAAGGCTTCAGGCTTTGGGATGCACGTGGGATTGGCCCTGGGCGGCTTGCCAGGCTGGAAAGCAGAAGTCCAGTTATCAGGAGCTAGCCTGCTACACTGGGAATGGAGGGAGTAAAGGGGGCATTCGTTTCTAAGCAGGGAAATGATAAAAGCAAAAAGGCCCTTAGCCATGGCAAGTGTAGGCTTGAGAGAGATTGGGAGCTAACAGATAGGAAATAACAGATGGAATGTGGATGGTAATCAGGGGTGCGATGTGGGATGCGTTGGAATCTCAGAAACACAGGAGACCACCTCCCCTTAGGTCAGCAGTATCCCTGTCCTCATTTAATTTTATTATTTATTTTTACTTATTTTTGTCAGTCCTGGGGCTTGAACTCAGGGCCTGAGCACTATCCCTGAGCTTCTTTTGCTCCAGGCTAGCACTCTACTACCTGAGCCACAGTACGACTTCTGGCTTTTTCTGTTTACATGGTACTGAGGAACGGAAACCAGGGCTTCATGCATGCTAGGCAAGCACTTTATCAGTCAGTAAGCCACATTCTCAGCCCTCTGTCCTCATTTGAATGGTGAAGGAAATGAGGAGCAGAGAGGTTCAGGGAATGACCCCAGATCACACAGGTCACAAGAACAGAGCAGAGCTGGAAAACGTTTGTAACCATTTTGACATCGTATACTGTTTTGTTTTCCAGCAGCAAGGATAGAACCGAGGGCCTCTTGGATGCTAGGCAAGCACTCTACCACTGAGCTATCGTCCCAGCCCAGTGTACTCCTATTACTTTAAATAGATCTGTAGATGCCTGTATGGGAGTAGAGAGAAAGGAGAATATATAAAGAGCAATTAAAAGATGAAGTACATATTAGTAGGACAGGTAGGAGTGCATGTATCCAGGGAGAGAAGAGCTGCAGGATCTGGGTCTCTAGGGTGAAATATAACATCTGGAGAAGTAATGAGTATGTGTGTGCACATAGTCACAGGACCACAGCCTCAGGCAGTGCACTCCTACTCAAGACCCAAATGTCCTTTGCCTTTGTCCTCAGCTCCAGGCTGAGCTCTGGAGCGAACGATGCTTTAGATGGTTAAGATGATGTTTGGTCTGACAAAGAACAAGTTCCAGATGTGTGATAGCTCACAAGTCCCTGGCATCTCCTCAGTGGGCACAGGGGCTGGGCTGCTCAGAGTCAGATGAATAATCCTTAGCATTTTGTTTAGGCCATGTTCATGGCTGTAGTGAAAAGGAATTCTAGAAAGGCAACTCCCTACTTCTTTACCCGAGGCTTAGATGTGCTGGTAGAAGAGTCAACATGGAACTAGAGTGTCCTCTTGGCAACAAATTCACATTAAACTATGGATGCTGAGGGAGTCGTCTTGGCTCATGGCCTTCCTCTTTCCCCAAACTTCACAACCCTGGAAAGCTGATTGCTGGGGATTTGCCACTCGGCAAGCAACACTCATTCCTCTCTTCTAACATGGCAAGATAGTCAGGAAGCAGTCTTCACTGGTGCCCCACAAACCAAAACCAAGAGGACAGCTCATACTGTCCAGCGGGTACCTCCTCCTCTGCCGGCCCTGTCCCAGGAGCTGTGCATAGCTTGATTTGCTAAGCTGGAGGACTCTGACAACTGAGGGAATCCTAAATGCAAAATGCAGGGAATCCTAAAACACACCTCAAAGTTACAGGACTGCCCTGATGCTTGGGGGAGAGAGGCGGAGAGCCAGTCAGTTAGGCCCCTTCATTGTCTTTGGCCTGGCCAGGATGAGGTCCAGAAGGCAAGAGGACCGAAAGCAAGGAAGCTGAAGGTTCTGGAGACCAAGCCCAGTGAGAAAACCATCCACCTCTGGCTAGGAAGGAGGCAGGGAGGCACTGCGCTCTGCCAGACCAGCAGTGCAGCACACCAGGCCCAATCCCCGTGAGAACAGCTGCCCCAGCCACTGCTCCCTCATCTGTTGTTGGGAACCTTCTGTCTAAACTCACTCTCCTGCGTGGGGACTGAGCGCATGGCATTTCGGGGGGGAGGACATTGCCCTTGCAGATCCAAGGCCAGGCAGGGAAGGCAGGCAGGGTACGCATCTGCACAGCAGAAACAAGAGCTTTGGAGGCTCAAGCCCAGCTTGCCATGGTCATGTGATCCTCTACACTCGTCCCTGTAAGCAATGGAGTCTGTGTAACATCTGGCAGCTGGAAAGGAACACCAGAGTGGGCAAGGGTGTATGACTCAATGCAAGGCTGGCTGCAGAGTGAGGCTAGACAGACAGCCCATGGAGCAGGAGACTGACCAGGTAGGGCAGTAAGGGCAGTCATACTCTGAGACAGAAAGGGCCAAGCATGGCCAGCAGCTCGGGGCAAGGGTTTCCACTCTGCATGTGGCTACGTGCTGAGTGCAGTCCACTCAAGCTCCTGTAAGCCATCCCATTCTAAGGACAGCTTCCTGATACCAATTTCTCCTTTCTCAGCTCCTGGACTTATTTCAGCCCGATTCCCCCAAAAGGAGGTGACCAGGCAAAGATTGGGGGGAAGCAGCAGGCTGACATTAATCGATGGAAGCGGCTCCAAGCAGTTCATGCGGCCTTATCTCTCTCTCCTTTGGATAGCGTGTGTCCGCCGGAGTCCACGGGGTCGGTGATTAATAGGGGCCATCACTCACTGTCCGGGACGGCTGAAAGGCAGTGGGGGGGGGGGGGGCCCTCCCCAGAACTGAGATAACAAGCAGCAGGAATAATGAGTGGTGTCACTCCACTTTTCATTTTGATGGAAAGTCATTACGGGAGTCAACGCCAGCGACAAAGAGCCATGAATCAACTGCTCTGCTATGAAATTAAAATCGAATTGCTGGCCACCCTCAGCCCCTACCCTTCCTGGGAAATGGGGATGGGGAGGTGGCTTGGGTGAGGGGTGCTATCTTGGGGCGGGTTCTATCCAATCCCAGAGCAGCCTGTTATGGGCAGGAAGTGGACAGGCAGCCAGTGAAGGTGACAACTCCTGTCTCTACCTTGTTTATCAGACCCTTCCTCCCTAAACCATGTTTCCCCTCTGCCTGGAAGGTAAGCTGTGATTAAGAGGAAAATATGGCTTTGCTGACTCCAACAGACCACTGCTTGACTGCTCCCCTTGGGCCTCTGGCTGGAGCAGGGTAGCTTGGGCCCGGTGATAGAGCAAGCAAGGCCTAGCTGCCTTGGCTATCTCAGAACCCCTTGCTGAGCCATCTGTGTAGATCCTAACAGGGCCTTCCTCATCACTACAAGCAAAGACCTAAGTCCCTAATCTGGGACTCCACAGTGGCAGCTAATGGTCAGGAAGGTTGCCTGGACCAAGAATCTATGAAAACAGGTACCCAGCCTCAACCGCGAGCTCTGGGGAGCTGTGTGAGTAACTGTTAGCAGCATAGCCAAGAGTCTTTCCCTTTTATTAAGTCCAGTTCAACTAGCTAGAAGCAGCTGTGGTTCCAGGCTGGTAAGCCACGAGGCCAGTCAAGACTGCTGTTTGCAGTGAGCCAAGAGAGTGTTGAGGCCACCATCCGATGGTAGTTCCTTCCCAGAGCTCTCAATCTTCCAGTCAGTCTGGTTTCTTGCTGGGAAGGATCCACCACAATCAGCCCTGGCTCTGCTGCCATTTCAATGCTGGGAAGAGGGGCAGGTGAAACACCGAGAGAGTACGTCACAGAAAAGTCCCCATCAGGTTCACGGGGCGCCCGCCGTACCTCTTAGAGATGTCAGCTTCGATCTGGAAGACAGTTGCTGGGTAGATAGGGATCAAACAAGCAGGTGCAGGGCTTCATTCAGCAGACATCTGGGGGTCCTCCCACATGGCGAGATCACCCCATCCTGTCTTACCAGCTTCTGTAGCTCCTTGGTCTTCTCCAGCAGCAGGTCCAGCTTGGGCTCCAGAGCCGCCTGCTCCTCAAGGGCACCCTGCTGCTTCTGTACCATCAGCTCTTTCTTCAAAGCCAACAGCTGCGACTGCTTCAGCTTTTGCTGGAGGAACTCTGTCACGCGGTCCACATACCTATGCAGAGGGCACTCAGGTGAGCGGGGAGGCTGTACCCCACCCCACTCCTCAGGAAGCCATTCCCTGATTGGCCTCCTATCCCCACATCTGCGAGTCCTTCTCCATTAAAAACGCCTCTCCAGTTTCCTGTTATACCTGGGAAGCAGATTCTGCATAAATCAATGCCACCCACCCCCGAGCCCCTACCTCTACCATCTGCCCTAAAGACAGTCCAAGGAGAAGGCGATGGCATAGAAGGCATGGATGAGAACTAAGGAGGTCACAGACAGAGGAGGAGGACAAGGACCCAGAGCTGATCAAAATGGCAGAACCCAGAATCAGGATAGCCAGACCTTGGTGAGGCCAGAATCATAAACAGGTGTTGCATTCGAAGACTGGTGAGCCGGCCAATGAGATCCTGTAGCGTGGACACCATATTAACCATCTTCTCTTTGGTTTGGCCCTGCAGGATGGCAGGAGCCAGCTGAAACTGGCTCACAGACAGGATGTCGGCCTCCTCACTCATCTCTACTGCTCTCTGAGACAAGAAGATCTCGAGCTAAGGGTGAAAGAGGAGCTAGATTACAGGAAGAAAAGAGCTCAGAAGGCTAGGCCCCCAGACTGCTCAGCATGTGAGAATGTGTGGTAAGGGCTAGACTCTAGGGGAGAGTCTACCACTCTCACTGTTAGAAATCCCACAGCTGCAGTGGGTCTAGCACGGCCCCCTCCGCCACTCCTCATCCCACCATTCTGTCTCAGGCCTACACAGTTCTGAACCTTCTTTCTTCCCTAGCCTGTGGGTCAGATAACCAAGAAGACAGACTCCAAGGGTCTCTCTGCCCCACTGGAGGTATTTCTTTTTGCTCCATGGGAGGAATGGGGTTTGGGGACTAGGAATGCATGGGTGAAGAGCTGTGGGTTAAGAAAAGGCCAGGGTCAGGCACCCGTGGCTCACACCTACAATCCTAGCTACTCAGGAGGCTGAGATCTGAGGATTGCAGTTCAAAGCCAGCCTGGGCAGGAAAGTCTGTGAGACTTTTTTTTTGGGGTCCAGTCAGAGGGCCTGAACTCTGGGCCTGGGCGCTGTCCCTCAGCTCTTCAGCTCAAGGCTAGCGCTCTACCACTTGAGCCACAGCACCACTTCTGGCTTTTTTCTTTTTGCTTATGTGGTGCTGAGGAATTGAACGCAGGGCCTCAGGCATGCAAGGCAAGCGCTCTACCACTGAGCCACCTTCCCAGCCCAAGTCTGTGAGACTCTTATCTCCAATGAATCACCAGAAAACTAGAAGTGGTGCTGTGGCTCAAGTAGTAGAGTGCTCGTGTTGAGCTGAAGAGCTCAGGACCAGCACCCAAACCCCAGAGTTCAAGCCCCATGACTGACAAAAATAAATAAATAAACAAAATAAAAGGCCAGGAAGAAATTAAGGAAGAGACATATCTCCAGTCTATCTTATTTTGTCATGGAAATTAGATAATTTTTGTCCTCTTCTTCCTTTGAGGCTAGAAAGGGGTCTCTTTGGACAGAAAGAAGACAGAACTGGATGGGGACAGAACTTTCTAGAGGTTCTCAACCATAAGCCACTGAGAAGGGAAGAGACTCCAAAACAGGACCCATTTTCCCAGTCCAAGAACACTGGCTCTGGGGCTGGGATGGTGGCTCAGTGGTAGAGCGCTTGCCTTGCATACATGAGGCCCTGGGTTCGATTCCTCAGCATCCCATAAGCAAAAAGAAAAAAGCCAGAAGTGGCGCTGTGGCTCAAGTGGTTGAGCACTAGCCTTGAGTTGAAGAGCTAGAGGACAGCACCCAGGCCCAGAGTTCAGTCCCCACGACCGGACCCTCCCCCCCCCAAAAAAGAGAAAAGAACACTGGCTCTTTATACCTTAGTTATGGCAATCATGTTTCAACACAAATGATTGTGAGGCTCCTATCTTGTTAAAAAACAAAAACTCCAACAACTTCATGGTTTACCAAGTCAACTCAAAATTCAGACTGTCTCTGAGCTCCTCTTCTGCTCCCCCCTCCCAGCTCCTGTAACAAGGAGCCACGCAGCCTCCTTCCTGTCAGTCAAAGGTCCCCCCTTAAGACCTTTTTGGGGTTCTTTCTGCCTGGGAAGTTTTGTTTTTTGTTTTTGCCAGTCCTGGGACTTGAACTCAGGGCCTGGGCACTGTCCATGAGCTACTTTTGCTCGTCTAGCACTCTGCCACTTGAGCCACAGCGCCACCTCCAGCCTTTTCTGTTTATATTGTACTGAGGAATAGAACCCAGGGCTTCGTGCATGCTAGGCAAGCACTCTACCACTAAGACACATTCCCAGCCCTCCTCCCTGCTTTTTCTTTTTGTTGGTCATGGGGCTTGAACTTTGGGCCTGGGCGCTGTCACTGAGCTCTTCAGCTCAAGGCTAGTGATCTACCATTTAAGCCACAGCGCCCCTTCTGGTTTTCTGGTGGTTAATTGGAGATAAGAGCCTTACAGACTTACCTGTCCGGGCTGGCTTTGAACCGTGATCCTCAAATTTCAGCCTCCTGAGTAGCTAGGATTACAGGCATGAGCCACTGGCCCCGGCCAGGAAGACTTTTTGCTGGACAATTCACCACTGCTTTGTATGGAGTACTTGCAGTCTCAGCTTAAAGTCACCTTCTTAATGAAGCCTTCTCTTACTCCCAGACATAGAACCACAACCCTTGTTAGAGAAATGAGCTCCCTTCCCAAAGCTTAGTCTACTCCTTCCCTTCCCCACAGCTTAGCATGCTTCCTTCCTAGGCAGCACTAGGCCCATGCAGTAAAGGCAGTAAATGATCAACTTCCAGCCCCCCTTTACCTTGGGATGGCACTTCTCTGGGGCAGCTACCACCATATAAGGCAACAAGAGCCCCTTAGAGTGACCTTCAGCTCAGTGAAGCTGCAGGACCCCTTACCTACTATTTGGATGGTAGCCATAAATCTTCTTCCACCATGATGAAGCCCTTGGCCCACACGTGCATACTGGGGTCTCTGCCTCCTAGCCCCTTCTAGCTCCTCCTAAGCCTCCTAGGTTATATAGGTCACCTCAGACAATAGCTGGTGCTTCTTCTTACTTCTCCCTTGTGAGAAGGGGTCTTGTCGGCCCCTTTCCTAACAATAAACCTTTCTTTGTTCTCTGTACCTGGATGTCTGCGTGGTTTTCTGGCAAGTTTAATAATCTTTCAACCCTTCTCAGCAGCTTGTCTCCCTCCCCTGCTTTCTTTTTCTCCGTAGCATTTAGCACCATCTTACACATGCAGCATTTGTCTAGGTTCTCATCTGCCTTTCCCACCAGAGTAGAAGCTCCGTGAAATTGAGGCCTTTGAATGTCTGGTTCACTGCTCTATACCCAGTACCCAAGAGTGTGCCAGGCACTTTGGAGACTCACAATAAAGATGAGCTGATACATGGGGTGGGGAGCATCCTACCAGGTAAGACTCCTACTCCAAGACAAAGGAAGGACTTAGTGCCCTTTGCACTACAGGAGTGGTCAGGCCAGGGGACAGAACTGACATCACCTGTGCTGAGGCAGGCTGCCCCCGGACAACAGTACCTCCATGAGCTCATCAATGAACTGATTCCGGGTCTCAGGATATTCAAGAAGTGTCAGAGCATCTGTGCCTCTAGCAACACCTTCTGGAGCTGCCAAAAAGAGAGGCAGACAAGTGAGAAGGGATCTAGAACTAAGGAAGGAAAACCCCACAAATTTGAGAAGCCCAGGGGACGACTATGGACAGACTCATTGCACTAAAGCTACTTCCCAGCCCAAGCCAAGGGAGAGGGTTATCCTTTCCCAATTGCCCTAGCTTTTCTCAGGCTTCCTGCCAACTCTAGCCTGCCAGAACCACAGAGCTGGGTTCAGGGAAGGCTAGCTCTGAGCTGGTGGCAGTAGGAAGTAAAGTGTCATCCTGTACTGCCCTCTAGTGGCTCAGATTACTGCTACACCCTCTCTGCTGGTGAGGAGGAATCAGGCCAAACTTTGGGGTCTAGCCAACATCCTTTAGGTAATCCCACTAAAATGGCTAGCCTATAGTCAGTCTCTAAAAAGCTGAATCTTCCTACAGAACTTCTCTTCTGCCTCTCTCCCCACACATCCTCAGCAAGACTTAGAGAAAAATTTAAATGTGTGAGAAGCCTCATCACAATAGTATACTTTTGTGTCTAGACTTGGGGGGTCCTTGAGCACTTACCTTCAGTTCCTGCCTCCAGCACTGTGATCTGCAAACCAGTGGCATCATCTCCCCAGTCTATCCCATCACTCCCAAGGTCCTGGGTGGGGAGCAAAGAACCAGAGAGCCTGGTGAGAAGTCCCCAGCACAGGGAGCCAGAATGGACCAAAACCTTAAGAAAGACCAGGGCCTGCACATTACAGCTGGATTAAGGTCGACAGACCTGATGCACGGGACAAGGATGGCATTGTGGGCTATTATAATGCCATCCCCAGCCTTGCTTTGTAAAGTACTTCTATACCTTGCCCCAAACCCCAGCAAGAGGAGATATATAAACTCTGGACACATCACTTTTGAAACTGCCTCCTTTGGAATGCACTCATCTTTGGAGAAGTGAACTTGGAGGAATGCCTTTACAGGCACAGACTACGGCTGAAGCAGGATCACAGCAAAGTCCTCTGAGAGATGAACCAAGTGGGCATCCTAACCTTTGACTCTGACTCCAGGGAGATGCCCCAGTCGATTCCAGTAGCCTCAGTAGAGATGTTGGGGCTGGAAGCTGCCTCTGCCCCAAAGTCACCCCAGTCAATCTAGAAAACAGAAAGAATGTCAGCCAAATAAGGTGGGAGAAAAAGAAAAAGAAATGAAAGGAAGAAAAAAGAAAAGGCCAGGGGCTGGGAAGGTAGCTCAGTGGTAGAGCGCTTGCCTTGCATGCCTGAGGCCCTGGGTTCGATTCCTCAGCACCACATAAGCAAAAAGAAAAAAGCCGGAAGTGGCGCTGTGGCTCAAGTGGTAGAGCGCTAGCCTTGAGCTGAAGAGCTGAGGGACAGCGCCCAGGCCCAGAGTTCAGGCCCACGACCGGACCCAAAAAAAAAAAAAAAAAAAGAAAAGGCCAGATGCCAGTGGCTCATGCCTATAATCCTAGTTACTCAGGAGGCTGAGAGCTAAGGATCATGGTTTGAAGTCAGCTTCGGCAGGAAACTCCATGAGACTCTGACTGAGATCTAATTAACTATTCAAAAAAGCTGGAAGTGGAACTGTATCCTTGAGTACAAAAGCACAGGGATAGCACCCAGACCCCTGAGTTCAAGTCCCAGGACTGGCACACACACAAAAAATAAGAGCTGGGTGTGGTAATCCCAGCTCTTGGGGAAGCCAAGGCTGTAAAATCAAGTGTTGTAGGTATTACAGGACTCAGGACTCTATAGTAAAAATAGTAATATATGCTACACAGTAAGAACTTGTCAAGAGGACTTGGGTGGGAGGGGGGGGAGGCAGAGAGGGAGGAGGGGGAGGTGTACACCAGTGGCTCCTGCCTGTAACCTAGCTACTCAGGAGGCTGAGATCTGAGGATCTCAGTTTGAAGCTAGCCTGGGGAAGAAAAGTCCATGAGACTCTTATCTATAATTAACCACAAAAAGTCAGAAGTGGAGCTGTGGCTCAAGTGGCTGGAGTGGCAGAGCACTAGCCTTGAGTGAAAAAGCTCCAGCCCAGAATTCAAACCCCAAGACCAGGGGGAAAAAAAGAAAGAAAGAAAGAAAGAAAAGCTGGGTGGAGAGGTGCTTGCTTTCCCAAAGGCCTCAGGTAGTTCTATAGGGAAACACACATTCAAATGCAATGGCCTGTATGCTCCCAAAAGAAAGCCCACATTCAGAAGGCACAGGTGACTGAGTGGCTTCTGGTTTACATGAATCAACTTTCTGAGCTCTCCATCATTTTCTATACTCTGGTCTCAAGGAGGCCACGCTCTCCTGCCAAAGTCGTGCTCCTATGACTTCTACCCTCCCCTCTAGGACTCTGAATGGAGGTCAGGGTTTGAGCTGGGTGTTGATGGGGCAAATGGCTTCTAAGCAGGCCTGTTTTACCTCATCTTCTTCCACTTGCTCGGGAGGCTCCTCAAGGTGTGGCCGCTCCACCACAGAGGGCTCTTTCCCCGTCCTCCATTCGTACACAGTCGAGTTTCCCCGCTTCTGCACATACTGCAGCATGGGCAACACCTGCTCCGCGGGGCTTAACAGAAGACACAACTGAGCCTCTTACTGACCTCTTAGGAAACCAATACGTGGGCCATATGGTCCAAGGTGTAAGACTCTCACCAGCTCAAGTGTATGAAATGCAGCTCACCTGGCTGGATATTGGTAGCCCACACCTGTAATCCTAGCTACTCAAGAGGCTGAGGGGTCTGGGAATGTGGTTTAGTGGTAGTTTGCCTAGCATGCATGAAGCCCTGGGTTCGATTCTCCAGTACCACATAAGCAGAAAAAGCAAGAAGTGGTGTTGTGGCTCAAATGGTAGAATGCTGGCTTCAAGCAAAAGCAGCTCAGGGACAGTGACCAGGCCCTGAGTTCAAGCCCCAGGACTGGCAAAAAAAAAAAAAAAAAAGACTGAGGATCTGAGGATCTGCAGATCATGGATCAAAGCCAGCCCAAGCAGGCAAGTCTATGAGACTCCTGCATCCAATTAACTAGCACAAAGCCAGAAGTGGAGGAATGGCTCAATTAGCTAAGTGAGAGTGCAAGGTCCTGAGTTCAAGTCCCAGGACCAACACACACACACACACACACACACACACACTCTCTCTCTCTCTCTCTCTCTCTCTTTCTCTCCAGTTCATGTGCTATGTGGGGAAAATGGCAGTGGGGAAGAGCCAGGGAACACAAGTAAGCCACCCCCTGCTAGAGAGAAGTTGTGATCCTTTTACCTTTCACACACAAATCCTACACAGGCCTGGTACAGTTCAATGGCTTCGCCCAGGGACTGAGCCCCTGCACCAACCTCAGCCAGCTGACTAGGCAGGTCCTTCACCAGGGCCAGAAGTTCTCTTCGGACATTGTCTCCCTAGAAAAGGGAGAAGGGAGGGGCTAGGGCAGACCTGGCAAGAGGTGGAGTCCAAAAAGTCAAAGGAATTACCCAAGGGAAACCACTGGGCTTGGGAATGTGGCTTAGTGTGATTGAGTGCTTGCCTAGCATGCACGAAGCCCTGGGTTTGATTCCTCATACACAGAAAAAGCCGGAAGTGGCTCTGTGACTCAGCTGGTAGAATGCTAGCCTTGAGCAAAAAGCAGCTCAGGGATAGTGCTCAGGCCAATTTCAAGCCCCAGGACTGGCAAAAATAAGTAAGTAGATAAATAAATATAAACAAAGGGGAGACACTGGCCCAAGAGGGATACAACCTGGCAGAGAAGTCAGAGGGCTGATAGTGAAGTCTTTGCCAGTAACAGAAGAGCCTGGCCCAGGAAGTCAGCCCCAAGGGGCTGGGAAGGTGGCTCGGTGGTAGAGCGCTTGCCTTGCATGCCTGAGGCCCTGGGTTTGATTCCTCAGCACCACATAAACAAAAAGGAAAAAAACCAGAAGTGGCGCTGTGGCTCAAGTGGTAGAGCGCTAGCCTTGAGCTGAAGAGCTGAGGGACAGCACCCAGGCCCAGAGTTCAGGCCCTACAACCAGACCCAAAAAAAAAAAGACAGCCGCAAGCCCAGGTGCCCTCCCACTGCAACAGAGGAACAAGGTACCACTCCCTTTATCTGCACACCGTGATGCCATACTGCTTGCACGAGTGGTAGAACTGCTCCCGCATCTCAGCGGCCCCAGCCTGGCCCTCCTCCTCCTTGCGGCTGTATTCTTGCTGGAGCTGCTGGCACTTGGCGATCTGCTTCTTTAGTGAGGGGATCTCGTAGTTGACATTCCGAACCAAGAGGCTAGAGAGTTCCACTAAGGAGGACCCAGGAAATTCACCCCACGATAGCCACACACCCTAAGGCAAGATGCCCGAGGATGCACCCCAAAATGCCCTAGAGTGGTGGTAAAGAGTGGGGTTTGTGCTCCAGTCCCTCCCCTTCCTGGCTGAAGAACCTGAGACAAGTTACAAAGCCAGAACCCCAACCCTCAGGTGCAAAAAACAAGGAATATTAATACTGACCGGGTGGATCTACATAAAACACCAACCCATACCTCTTCTGCCTAGTACAGAATGGGGGTGGAAGGATGGTAGGGGCAATACACGCTCCACCCCGTCAGAGAGGGACAGGTCAAGTACCAGCTCAGTTAGGAACACATTTGACCCTCCTCCACCCCCCTCTCAGAATCATTTTTCTCACAATCAGTCATCATCTACATTCTACTCTCCTCCCACAATAGGCCAGGCCTCCTGTAAGCATGGCATCTCTGAACTCTGGGCGGGCTTCCCCATGCACACTGGCGTCACTTTACCTAGGTAAGTGTTGTCCTTCTCATACAGGGCTACAATCTCTTGCCAATCCTGAGTAGAACAGAAAGGGAAGTCAGCCAGGGAGAACACCCAGCAACAACCTCACAGATCAATCTCTAAACAGAGGACACTTCCCGCAGGCTTTCCATCACACCAAACACAAACTCCTAGCCTTCCTCTTCCTCCTGGGTGTGTGCATGTGTGTGCATGCATGTGCACACATACACATGCATCAATACTGGAACTTGAACTCAGGAGCCTTGCATTGTCACTTGGCTTTTTTGCTCAAGGCTGCTGCTCTAACATTTGAGCCATAGATGGACATCCAATTTTTTTTTTTTTTGGTCGGTCGTGGGGCTTGAACTCTGGGCCTGGGCGCTGTCCCTCAGCTCTTCAGCTCAAGGCGAGCACTCTACCACTTGAGCTACAGCGCCACTTCCGGTTTTCTGGTGGTTTATTGGAGATAGGAGTCTCACGGTCTCTCCTGCCCGGGCTGGCTTCGAACCGCGATCCTCAGATCTCAGCCTCCTGAGTAGCTAGGATTACAGGCGTGAGCCACCAGTGCCCGGCTTGGACATCCAATTTTTGCTACCCAACTGGAAATAAGAGTCTCAGACTTTTTTTTTTTTTTTTGGGTCCGGTTGTGGGGCCTGAACTCTGGGCCTGGGTGCTGTCCCTCAGCTCTTCAGTTCAAGGCTAGCGCTCTACCACTTGAGCCACAGCACCACTTCCAGCTTTTTTCTTTTTCCTTATATGGTGCTGAGGAATCGAACCCAAGGCCTCAGGCATGCAAAGCAAGCGCTCTACCACTGAGCCACCTTCCCAGCCCAGCCTCAGACTTTCTATCTACCCAGGCTGGCTTCAAGCCTCAATCCTCAGATCTCAGCCTGGAATGTAGCTAGGATTACAGGCGAGAACTACCAGTGATATGAGCCACTCACTCCTCCAGTTCTTCATGCTAGACAGACCAAACACCAGTGTGGCACCAACAAGCACACCTCAAAGCAGCAGGTGAGAAACTGTAAGCCCAGAGAAAAGATCTACATTTGGCATAAGCTACAGGGAAGAGAGACGGCTCAGAGAGACCAGAGGGGCTGAGGACTGGATGTCCCCAGCTGCACATGACCAACCCTCTGAAATACTTGCCTTCATCCGCTGTGAAGAGTACTGGCCAAAAATATTTTTTGTGGAGGCCTCAGTGCCTTTGAGAAGGTCCACAATTCTTAGGCAGTGGAAGTAGTGAATGTCTGGAACGTAAGGAAGGGTGGAGATTTGGAGAATGACATTGTCTTTACCTCCTATAGCCACTGTCTGTGTCTGACTCACATGTACTGTACCGAAAACAATCTTGGCAGGTAGCTCTCCCCTTCATGGTTCTGAAACCAGCATATCTCCCTCTCTCTCTCTCTGTCTCTCTCTGGGGACAGTCTTGTTTATGGCTAAACAAGGAGGTAACTGCATAGATACAAACTGTGCCAGGAAAGGGAGGATATCAATGACAAGACCCCCCCAAAGCACTCACAGGACCCAGAGAGCAGCTGAGCAATCTCTTCGGTCTCTGGCATGTCTTGGATGGCAGCATTGATCTTCTCCCGGATCATCAGCACCAGACTCTGCCATTTCAGGCTGCAATGCCTCCTGTCCACCAGCCAGTCTGTATCAGGAACACCCAGTTATGGCATTTCTCCACACCTCCAAAACCCTATTACTAATGCACTGGGTAATGGCTAAAAGTTGCCACAGTTATTGGTTAAGGTATGTGGGGGGCGGGGGGGTAGTAATCATGGGAAGATGCAAAGGAAAACAGGCCTAAAGAGATGCTTGGGCTAAACAGATTCCATCAGCCTGACTTTATTCACAATTTTTCTAGAGCAGCTGCCTCAACACAAAGATAATGACAAACTTTTAAATTGGTCCTGACATGAAAGTGCCACTTTTGACCATCCTAGATTCTCCATAATATTTTGCTTCCAGGGCTAATTACAACTTTCTGGTTGACAAAGGATGCAGTTCAACTTCCATTTCCTCGGGGCTGGGATTAACTAGAACAATGGAAAACATAAAACGGTTATGCCAAGTACCGGATGAATGAGCAACTGCAAAGCCCCTAATACCTACAGCGCCCCAAGGACTAGATACCATTAGTCTGCCCTTAATTGTGAAGTGCTACCATGCACACGTGACTCTCAATGGGTCTGACTTCAAGGAGCTGAGCCCAACTCAGTGTTTAAGCCTAAGAGTCATGCTCATTCCTCAGTAGAAGGAACTAAGAGTCGGGCTTCGTGGTAGGATGGTCCTAGATTCTAATTATCAAGTTTCTGGAGCAATTCTATCGCTTCTCCATGACTCTCAGGCAGGAGGGTCAGCATTTTCCCTCATTTTCTAGGTGGGAAAACTCACACAGAACTGAACAAATATTAATGATCTTCATTTTTATTTTGGTAGTACTGGGGGTTTGATTTCAGGGGCTCACATTTGCTATGCAAATGCTCTATAGCTGGAGGCATACCCCTAGCCTGTATTATATTTGTATAATATCAAGTACATAAAACAGCTGAGTGCTCAGGCTTCACTCCTGTATTCCTAGCTTCTCAGGAGACTGAGATCTGAGGATCAAGGTTCAAAGACAGCCTGGGCAGGAAAGTATGTAAGACTAGTATTTCTAATTAACCAGCACAAAGCTGAAAGTGGAGATGTGGCACAAGTGGTAGAGCAATAGCCAGCCTTGAGCAAAAAAGCGAACGGATGGTGCCTGAGCCGAGTTCAAGCTCCAGTACTGATACACACAATCAAATAATTACTAAATAATAAATATTCTCTCTGCTGAAAATGTTCAGGGGGAAAATAAAATTATAAATGTCAGAATTAGGAGCGAAAGGCCGAAACAGTCAAACATCATCTTAAGTACAAGAATGACATTAAGACTGATAAATCCAGTGAATATCTTTAAATGCCTGCTGTGCATACGCCCTGATGTGGTCAGAATGAAAAGACCTTTCCCCGGCTCTGAGCTGGGGAAGAGACATGTAAACCAGATACAACCATGGCCTGGCCACTAAAAGGTCTGTTAGCCCAATGAGCTCCCTTTCCCATAGCTTAGCATGCTCCTTTCCTAGGCAATACTAAGCCCATTTAGTAAAGGCAGTAAATAATCAGCCTCCAACCCCACTTTTCCTTGAGATGGAACTTCTCTGGGACAGCCACCACCATATAAGGCAGCAAGATCCCCTACAGTAAGCCGGGCGCTGGTGGCTCACGCCTGTAATCCTAGCTACTCAGGAGGCTGAGATCTGAGGATCACGGTTCAAAGCCAGCCCGGGCAGGAGAGACTGTGAGACTCCTATCTCCAATAAACCACCAGAAAACTGGAAGTGGCGCTGTAGCTCAAGTGGTAGAGCGCTCGCCTTGAGCTGAAGAGCTGAGGGACAGCGCCCAGGCCCAGAGTTCAAGCCCCACGACCGACAAAAAAAAAAAAAAAAAAGATCCCCTACAGTGACCTTCAGGTCTGGGCAGCTGCAAGACCCATTATCTACCTAGTCTGTCCTGATGAAGCCCCTGGCCCTCACTTCCACACCAAGGTCTCTGCCTCCTAAACCTCCTGGGTTATATAGGTCACCTCAGCCAATAGCTGGCACTTCTCTCTTATGAGAAGGGGTCTTGCTGGTCCCCTTCCTGGTAATAAACCTTTTTGTTGTTGTTTTTCTTTGTACCTGGATGTTTGTGTGGTTTTCTGACCAAGTCTAATGAACTCTAACAAGGTCTCTATGTCCAACTGAGTCTTAAGTCCCTCTTCTCCCTAATATACAACGATGACAAGAGCTTTTTAAATAAAAAAGGTGCCTTATTTCCTGGTATATAATGGATGAAGCATGAAGATTGAGCCAGACGGGTTTAAGTTCCTGTTCAGATCTGCCACTTAGTAACTAAGCTTCTTTAAACCTAAGCCGGGTCTCCTGCCCCTGAATGATATGATGTGATCACACACGTTAACAAACGTGAAGGGAGAAAGCAGGGGTCAAGTGCCGACTTCCTATAGGGTTTCTTCCTGCTGCTCTTGGGCCTGGCCACCGAATACGGCTGGTGATCAGGACCTCCACCTAGATTTCCAGGTTTCCAACACTCCCAGCTGCCGGCGACAGGGGGCAAAGCACAGGCCTCCCCCGACGGGCGGCGGCGCGAGGCGCCCCTCCTACCGAGCAGCTTGCTGGTCTGGATGTCGATGGGCACGTGCTGATGGTCCTGGAGGGAAACACCGCGGAGAGGGGGGCGTGAGCAGAGGAGGCGCCACGCAAGCGCTCACTGCGCTGCCCCAACCGCCACCGGGCGGGGCCGCAGCCCCAGGCGGTGGGCAGACGCCGCGTGCGGGAGGAAGGCCGGGGAGGCAAGGGCTGGGGTCCCGGGAGAAGCGCCCACAACCCCAGGCCCCGTCTCCACACCTGCATCTTTCCTCCACTTCTACTCTCACTTCCGCTTCCGGCAGAAGAACCCGGTTCGTCCCGTCCCGCCACCAATCCACGCTAACCTTCAGTTCTGATACCAACAGGCCTCCTTCAGCCACGTCGCCGCCTTCCGCCGAGCCAATCAGGCCTTAAGCCCCGCCCACCTCGAGGCTCGAATGGCTGAGCCCGGGAGGGGCGGGAGATCAGGAGACAGCCAACCGGAGACTCGAGGCGGGCTCAGGTCCGAAGAGGGGCGGGGGTTCCTGGAAAAGGCTGCAGTGGTGGCACTGTCCCGATAGGGGCGCACAAGAGCCAGTCCCTGCAGGTACCGCTCTACCACTCCAGGGGGCGCGAAACCTTCTGCAGGCGGAAGGCGTGATCTGGACAGCATATTCCAAAGCAGTTGAAAGTAATTTCTTTTTTCTTTTTTTGTCTGTCTTGGGTCTTGAACTCAGGGCCTGGACGCTGTCCCTGAGCTTTTGTGCTCAAGGCTTGTGCTCTACCACTTTGAGCCATAGCTCCACTTCCGGCTTTTTGGTGATTAATTGGAGGTTAAGAGTCTCACAAACTTTCCTGTCTAAACTGGCTTTGAACTGTGATCTTCAGATCTCAGCCTCCTGAGGAGTAGCTAGGATTGCAGGTGTGAGCCCCAATGCACAGCTGGAAGCACTTTCTTCTCACCATGTCTTGCTGAATGCAAGGCTTACAGATGCTTGGTAGCATTGGCACACTTTGTCTTTCCCCTTCTGTTTATTTGATAGACAGGAGTTGAACACTTGTTTGGTATTGGGCAATTGGGGTAGGAAAGTAAAAGGAGGAAAGGCCCAGCCAGGAAGCATCCCAAACATAACATACTGACTCATGTTTTGGGGTTGTTTTTTTTTTTTTCCCAATCCTGGGGCTTGAACTAGGGCCAGGGCACTGTCCCTGAGCTTCTTTTGCTCAAGGCTAGCACACTACCACTTGAGCCATAGCACCACTTCTGGCTTTTTCTGCTCATGTGGTACTGAGAAATCGAACCCAGGGCTTCACTCATGCTAGGCAAGCACTCCAACACTAAGCCACCTTTCCAGCCCAACATACTGACTTTTTTTTTTTTTTTTGGGGGGGGGGGTCTGGTCGTGGGGCCTGAACTCTGGGCCTGGGCGCTGTCCCTCAGCTCTTCAGCTCAAGGCTAGCGCTCTACCTCTTGAGCCACAACGCCACTTCTGGCTTTTTTCTTTTTGCTTATGTGGTGCTGAGGAATTGAACCCAGGGCCTCAGGCATGCAAGGCAAGCGCTCTACCACTGAGCCACCTTCCCAGCCCAACATACTGACTCTTAAAGGAAGAGCTCAAGAGACAGCAGGAAGCTTTGCGGACCACACAGTACAAATGGAATACAGAGGAGTGCTGGCAGGCAGGAGTGGCAATATAATTGTGGAGTTCATTGCAGTGTGAAAATAAAGGGTGCTTTGTTTAGCCAGGTGTCCAGAGGCTCACATGTGTAATCCTAGCTACTCAGGAGGCTGAGATCTAAGGAACACAATGCAAAGCCAGTCTAGGCAGGAAAGTCTGTGAACTCTTAATCTCCAATTGAGCACCAAAGCCCTGAAAGTGGAGCTGTGGCTCAAGTGGTAAAGCACCAGCCTTGAGCACAAAAACTACAGGACAGCACCCAGGCCATGAATACAAGCCCAAGGAATCACACACACACACACACACACACACACACACACACACACACACACACACACAAAGGATCCCTTGTTATAAAAAATATATGAACAATTTTAATGATCTATTGAACACACCAGCCTCTGTAGTTAAGAAAAAGAAAAGAGATTGAGACAAGCAATAGCCAGAGGCTTTGCTATGGAAGGCTCATATCAAAGGGAGCCTCTTTAAGGAACTTGGACTTTATCCTTTCAGACAGAGAGGAACCTCCTGGGGTTTTAAGGGTTTGAGGCAGGGAAGGACATGTACAGATTGGCTGCAAGAAGGATGGATTAGTGAGAGATAAGACTGGAGACAGAAAGACTGGAAGGAGGCTGCTATCCAGAGGTTAGGGTCTGACCTGAGATTGAAGGTGTGAAAAGGAGAGGAAAGGCAGGATTTGAGAGACATTCAGGAGGAAAATGGATAGGACTTGGCAAGAGATTGGCTGTGTGGGTGGGAGACAGACAGCAAGAATGACATGCAGGTGTTGAGTGAGCAGGACACCATTTTACACAAGGATGTCGGATGCTGAGCAGGAATGAGGGAGGAGAGGACCTCAGATTTGAACTTGTGGAGTTAGCAAGGCTGAGAGCCCCTCAGTTAGAGTGTGCAGAGGGCACTTGGGTCTATAACTCTGAAGTTCAGGGGAGTCATAAAGACTGGACAGTGTAGAGCCAGCCACAAATCAGCACATCTGTGATCCAGTAGTGGCTGGAGTTAAGACAGGGCTTGAGATCAGCCAAGGAAAGAGAGTGAGGAGAAGATGAGGGCAGATATCCAGGGATTTTACAGAGTGGGGTATGTCATTTCTGAATGCTCTCTTCCCCTCCTGCCCCCTGCCTATGGCAACTCAATGCCTGGGGCTTAGTCGATTTTCCATTGAACTGTCTAGTGTGATTCACTAGTGGGCAGACCTAGATTCTGTCCTGTGAGATCCTGGACAAGTTCCACAGCTCTCAAATAACTACAGTTTCCTCAACTTGGAGATAACACCTATTCTATCTCAAGGTATTTCTGATAAAAGGCTTAAATAAATAAACATCCTAGGTGTTTATTTACCTTTCCCCCAACTTTTTGTCAGTCATAGGGCTTGAACTCAGGGCTGGGTGCCCTTCTTGAGCTCTTTCTTTGCTCAAGGCTAACACTCTACCACTTTGAGCTCCGTTTCTGGTTTTTGAGAGGTTAATTGGAGGTAAGAGTCTCATGGGGACTTTTCTGCCCAAGATGGATTTGAACTACAATCTTCATATCTCAGCCTCCTGAATAGCTAGGATTATAGGTGTGAGCCACAGGCATCTGGACTATTTACTGTTTATATCTTACTTTCTTTCATTATTTTTATTTTTTGTAGTCTTGGAGCTTGAACTCAGGGCCTAAGCACTGTCCCTGAGCTGCTGCTGCTGCTGCTTCTCCTTCTCCTTCTTCTCCTTCTCCTTCTCCTTCTCCTTCTCCTTCTCCTTCTCCTTCTCCTTCTCCTTCTTCTTCTTCTCCTTCTCCTTCTCCTTCTCCTTCTCCTTCTCCTTCTCCTTCTCCTTCTCCTTCTCCTTCTTCTTCTTCTTCTTCGGCTTGAACTCGGCCTGAATGCTGTCCCTGCACTCTTCAGCTCAAGCGAGAGCTCTATTGCTTGAGCCACAGCTCCACTTCCGGTTTTCTAGTGGTTTATTAGAGATAAGAGTCTCTCGGACTTTACTGCCCGGGTTGGCTTTGAACCGTGATCCTCAGATCTCAGCCTCCTGAGTAGCTAGGATTACTGGTGTGAGCCACCGGTGACCAGCTTCCCTGAGCTTCTTTTGCTCAGGGCTAGCATTCTACCAATTGAGCCACAGCACCACTTCTGACTTTTTCTATTTATGTGGTACTGAGGAATGGAATCCAGGGCTTTATGCATGCTAGGGAAAGCACTCTACCACTAAGCCACAGTCCCAGCCCCTATCTTACTTTATTTATATTTTGCTCGTCCTGGGGCTTGAACTCAGGGCCTGGATGTTGCCCCTGCACTTTTGTGCACAAGGCTAGCTCTCTGCCACTGGAACCACAGCTCTTCTGCTCATTTGTGGTTAATTGGAGAGTCTCATGGGCTAGTTTCAAATTGCAATCATCAGATCTCAGCCTCCAGAGTAGTTAGGATTACAGGTGTGAGCTACTGGTGCCCAGCTACAATGTACTTTAGATTTTCTTTTGTTGTTGTTGTTGGTCATGGGCTTTTTTTTTTTTGGTCCGGTCGTGGGGCCTGAACTCTGGGTCTGGGCGCTGTCCCTCAACTCTTCAGCTCAAGGCTAGCACTCTAACACTTCAGCCACAGCACCACTTCCGGTTTTTTCTTTTTTGCTTATGTGGTGCTGAGGAATCGAACCCAAGGCCTCAGGCATGCAAGGCAAGCGCTCTACCACTGAGCCACCTTCCCAGCCCCTGGTCATGGGCTTTAACTCTGGGTCTGGGTGCTGTCCCTCAGCTCTCCAGCTCAAGGCTAGCACTCTACCATTTGAGCCACAGTGCCACTTCCGGCTTTTTCTGCTTATGTGGTGCTGAGGAATTGAACCCAGGGCCTCATGCATGCAAGGTAAGCACTCCATCACTGAACCATTGTCCCAGCCCTAGATATGTACTTTTATGCTTTGTAAAATACATGCATATAAAATGTTATACAATCATTATTGAAAGATATCCTTGGAAGCAGCCTGCAGGGCCAAAGCAACGAAGGGCCTTTTTAGGGCTCTCTCAAGGGAATTTGGCTCCCATCTCAGAGTTCCTGACTCAGAGTTTCTGACTCAGGCAGTAGGAATTGCTGGGGCTCCCCCACAATTAAACAAACACTCACTGGGCTCCAACTATGTGCTGTGGGCTCCCTGGGCTACCCCAAGAAGTCTAGCACGACCCCGCCCTCAGGGATATCTCTCCTCCTTGAATCAATAGGCAGGGCCCAGCAGGACTGGAAGGCCCAGCCCTGATGAGTTACTGAGGCCCAGACCACCAGCACCTCACCCCACCCACTGCGCTCAGGGTGACTCACATGGAATACAAGTCTGCTTGAGAACCATTTCTGCCCAGTTGCTGATTCCCATCCCCTGGGAGACTGCCCAAAAGGACATAAATGCCTAAGCCTCTGGCAGCCTTCTGCCCTCTTCCGAAGTCACCAGGAACTTGAGGCCTGTACCTAGACACGTATCCAGGTCATTGACTCTGGTCTGCAGGAAGGCTGGGGGGTAGGGAGCTGGTTGAGCTTCCTGGCAAGGAAAGGGTGCAGACTTTTTTTTTGGTCAGTCTGTGGGGCTTGAACTCTGGGCTTGGGCGCTATCCCTGCGCTCTTCAGCTCAAGGCGAGCACTCTACTGCTTGAGCCACAGCGCCACTTCCAGTTTTCTAGTGGTTTATTGGAGATAAGCGTCTCATAGACTTTCTTGCC